CAAAGCGAAACGACCCTTCGTAAGCGGCCATTCAAGTCCCAAGAGAATATCGACCTCATCACTCAAGCTCGGAGCTATCTGCGTAAGTCGCACCTTACAACTCCTTATTTCAAGAAACGCTGGCCGTTCATAACAGATAGTGGTGTCGGTGGCAAGAGGTTCTCTCGTTCAGGCAGTAATACCCATGCTGACTCTTATCGTACTGTGAAAGAGGCTCTTCCTCTTGCCCTTTTGCTCACCTCCCTCTTGAACCCCAACTCTTTTACTAGCCTCTGACTCAGAAAAGCCACGCGCGATTAGTCTCAGCCCCACCACCTCCAGTCACTATAAGTTGGCGTCTGCAGGGAGGAAGGAGCAGGGGACGCCCTTTCCCTACAGCTGAGTGAAGTCCAATGGCGAATCAGACGTCATCCACTAATTCCCTCTCCCCTTCGAGTAGCTAACAAGTTGGCGTGCATGTCGTGTCTACGCTTCTCTACCTAATAGCCTTCCGTTAACTTCCCCCCGCTCCCTTGACTGCCACTTCTCATTCTCCTCTCAGTTTCGCGGGGTCTAAACAAGACGTCGTGCAAGCTTGCACGAAAACGGTTGACGTCAGTCGCGCTCCGCAAGCTCGTCTCGTTCCCGCTCACACACTATCCCTCTTCTTCGTTGACCACCTTCTCGCTCTCCAGCCCCCCGCCACCTGTCGCGCGTATCCGTACCACTGCACTTGCCTCCCTTTCTCCGTTTCGGGTTCAGTCCCGTTCACCCTCTCATGCGCCCCCTCAGACCTGTCTTTTCCCCCTGATCTGCCTTTCACCCGTCCCACGGCCTCTGGGTGTCAGCTGTCGGGAGTTGGGCTTGAGTCCCTCTTCCACCAGCTTCGCGGCTTGGTGATACCTCTGGATCTCGCCTGGTCTATTCCAGGACCTGAGGTCCGTCTTTCGATCTCCTGCCTCGCTCATCTCGCTTTCCCCACCTGAGTCCCTGTCCACGTGGGCTTGTTCCAGGTCCGCTGTGTCCATTGAGGTCTCGGTCTCATGATACGATACCGTTACCAGCAACCTTGCTGTCACTCCGTCCCTCCTGCTGCGCCTCTCCACACAATCTTTCGCCTCCGTGATCGCATCGTGCAATTTTTCATCAGTCTGCATTTCCACCTCTTTTGCCCCTTCCACGGTAATCTTCATTCTCACTTCATCACCCCCATCGTAGTTGAGCATGGCTGTAATCCAGAGCCCTTCCCCAGACATGGGCTTCCAGCGGGCCTGGTGATACCCGTGCAACGCCACAACCACTCTTTCTCAATAGCCAGCACCAGTGCCCAGTCCGCACTATCCCTGTTCGCAGAAGTACTTAGCCAGGCTGAATCCAGAGTGTCAGGAATCAAGGCTTCGGCGCAATACCACTACTCACACTCGAGGAGTGATAACACTCCCCACACGCATTTTTCTTAAGACCCAGGGGCAGCCTCTGCTTTATAGAGCTACAGGCGAGTGCGACCCCGGTGTGCTCTAAACGAAAAGCTTCAAGACTCAGCAAAAATTCGAAAGTAAATAGAATAATTTAAAAATTGTGATTTTACATAAAAGAAAACCAAAGAAAAGAAAAGAAAAGAAAAGAACTTGTGGCCGCGATATCCACAGGCCTTCTGGTATCGGTCCCTGTCGCTTCGTCTCACTGAAAAGTGACTTCTATTCTGAGGTGATGGTCCCATAACGGGATACCAGCGATCACATTCCCCTTTTTAAAATACAATTTCGGCCTATCCCCGTTGGGTACCCGTGTCCTATGGCAAGGAGGGGGCTTATGACCCTTCTTCGGGGGTGATAGGCTCCCTACCAACGCGGCCGCGGGTCGCCGTTCTTTTGGGGTCCCGCCGCACGGCGCCCGATCAGGCAGGCTAAGCACGAACAAATTTACGAGGGATCGGGCCAGCACCGTCAGGCTGTATTTGTAACTCATAAGAACGAGCCGTCGACCTCTCCCTATGACGTGACAGAACCCAAAAAGGGAAAAGCCGCGCCTGAAAATCGGTAAGTTGATAGTAATATTAATAATAATAATTGTAGAAAGAAACGGAAAACCCTTCTTCACACCCCACTGTATCTGCCCCACAATACAGCTACGGGGGCCCCACCGCGCGGAGCTTAGACGCGCAGACCCAGTACTACCTAGGCCGCACTACCACCGCCCGAACTCAAAATTTGAGCCGTTGGTCTTCCCACGAAATGACAAGCCAACGAGAGAAAATTGAAACAGAAAAATTAAGTAACAATAGTAATAGTAATAATAGCAGCAAAAATCAGAAAAAGGTAAGGAAAATTGTAACATCACAGTGGTTGAAAGCCACTGGATTTTCCCCGTACTAGAAGCGAGTTCGAACTCGGTATTTATTTATTTTTTTTTTTTTTTTTTTTTTTTTTTATGGCAATGACTTCTGCCCTGTACACCTAACCCATAACCTGGTTGGGCATTCGGCACATGGTAGAAAAGGCTGAGTCGGTCTTTTCACCTCCGCGTCCCAGGGCGAACCCGGCGGCTACCACGGCCACAGGCCGGTAATGCTCTGCTGTACAGCAGGGCGCCGAGCCTGCGTGGACCAATAAATGTCATGTGGCGCACCGCTTTTGCTGAGGGCTACGCCACCGGGACTGGTCCGCGCCGAGAACAGTCCAGGTGCCAGACCTACAACACGAGACGAGCCTAGGGAGCAGTAAGCCAGGACAAGGGACTGACACTGAGCGAGGACCTGGTACGCAAAGGAGGGTCGGGACACCGCGCCCTCCGACATAATACCAACCCCCCACCTAGCGTCCCCGCTGGGTCGAAATGCATCACGTTTTTCATCATAAATTCAACGCGAGCAGCAGTACTTCTCATTCATTACTACTCGCGACTCACTACGGAGCCCGCACCGTAGTTCTACGCAGTCTATTTTCTGTTTTTACTTTAGCGTTCACTCTTTCTCTCAGTGCTCGGTCTTCTTTCCAGCACTCATTTCTTTCCTCAACGCTTGCCTTCCCCCTGCGCTCACCTTTCTTATCTGTGCTCGCCTTCACTCTTAGTCCTCGCCTCCCTTTGACCATCGCAGGGCGTAATCCTCATTTTTAGTGCAGTCGCTTTCCTCTTTACCTCTTATCAGTTCCCTACTTTCGTTTTCCCCTTGGTTTATCTCATTCACCGTAAATTTCTTTTATATAGCACCCCCATTGTATCATAGATTTTACTTAGTGTTATATCCTCTGTCTCTCACCTCTCCCTTAGCAATCTCCTCACTCTCTACCATGCCTGAGGCACGCCGTGGACAGGGAAGAGGAAGGGGAGGTAGGACAGGGAAGGCTAAAGAGGAGCTGCCAGCTAGAGCACGGCGCGATTATAGTTCAGAGGAGGAGGAAGAGGAGGAGCCACGAGGCTACAGCTGCCCAAGGCCATACCCCCGCTATTCGCTAGCAGGCTGGTACGAGAGGACCCCATCTCCTGATAAGATGAAGTTCCTTTGTAAAAAAATTGACGCGCCCTATGGTACACCTAGCGCCTCTTCACCTCCTTACATCCCTAGAGCTCCTTCCACCCCCGTTGTAAACAAGACCATAGTGCCTGGTCCACCCTCCTCTGTCCCATGCACAGTCTCGTCACCTCATCACCGTAATCACTGCATTCTCATCAGCATCTTCTTCCTTCTCTTTCTTTTCCAGCTCGAGCTCATGGCCATCTTTTATGTCTTATATAAGCATGATTTCTTCTCAGTTTTCTGAGTCAGATTTCGGCTCACAAAATTTTTTGTTCACTGTTCACTTCATAGCATCCCAGGCCTGAGAGTTTGGCCCATTTTAAGGCCAGGGATGTAGGTTCCTCGTGAACCAAGCCGCTCGTCGACCACCAAATAAAATTCTAAGAAGGATTTTGTTTGCTTGTTTGACTTGTTCAGATGCTGGTCTTTTGTATGAAGGTTACCTTAACTCTTGATCAGGCATCTGTGTCAAGGATGGCCCCAGTAATGAGGGTACTCACTTTGTCTGCCATGCTGGGGACGGGCCATACCAAACCCCTTTTCTGTTTCTCTGGCATGAGTGAGACGTCTTCTCAACTTCTCAAGTACCTGATGGGGATACCAAACCCTTGCTTTCCTTCTCTGGTGTGAGTGAGGCGTCTCCTCAACTTCTCAGATAAAAGAGCGGGGATACCAAAACCTTTTTCTTTTCTCTGACCCGGGAACTTCGGATGGGCATTTGTATACCTGCAAAATCAGCAAGTCCCACAAAACAACCATGCCCCAGCAAGTAGACCCTCTGACAACCAGCAGTCAAACATTAATAAATTAAAATAAAACCCATAAATAAAATAATAAATAATAAATAACAATTAACACATAACAGCTCTTCATACCCAAGATTTATTGATTGCCTTGGTTTTGGCCCACCACTGGCCAGGAATGCCAGACTTCCCGTCAGTCTGACACACCTCATTCACCCCGCCTCAGGCCAGGACTAGTCAGACTATTTGTCTTGATAGCCCCTTAAACCTGCCTCCAGGTCAGGACCAGCATACCCACTACTCGAGTATGACAGCCCTTTGCAACTCTCGCCAGGACACCCAGACTATAGCGGGTCTGGTCACCCCATGACAGTAGACGTTCCGTCAGTCAAACTGCCCTGAACCCGGATTCGACCACTGCTGTCGGGGACCGGCTCAGCCAAGGGCGCTGGCTGCCCCGCCCAGATTTTTGAACGTGGGACCCAGTCTAACCACAGTTCCAGGCTCTGGCGAACCTCACTGGATTGCATCCTCTGACTGCGGTAGGGTTCCAACTGACCCCTCTCGGCCTCAAAGGCCAAACTCCCGGAGTCTTAGCCTCGGCCGACTACGGAATTCGACACTCGCGTCGGGGACCTGCTGACCCTTCCAGATTGCAACCTACTGCGGTAAGGCTCTGGCTGGCCCTGGCAATCAATGCATCCTTAGGTTAGTGAAGAAAACTCCCAGGCACAGACAACCAGATAAGCATATCATGACCCACAAGCAGACTGCCTACGCCCCATAACAGGACAAACATTTCTTAAGAAACGTCCCTTCGGTTTCAAGAGGCACTGAACAATAACATGCTAGCCAACACTAAAAGTTCGCAAGAGATCTCCCTTCAGCCTCAAGCAATGAACTTAGTGTTAGCCCTAGAGAGGTCCCTTCCCTCAACTGGGATTTTTTTTCCAAGAGACGTTCCGTCAGTCTCAAGGAAATACTGAAACACTGTTCTCAGAGAGGTCCCTTCCCTCATCTGAGTGAAGACAGACCCTTAGCGAAAGGCACGAAGTCCCTCTACTGACCACTCTCAGTCAAGTAAAGTTGTACTTCTTTATGTCTGCCTTCATCTAAATCTCTTGGATGGACATTTTGCTCAGAGACACGAAGTTCTTCTGCTGATAACTCTTAGTCAGACAGAACTGAACTTCTTCATGCTCACCATGCTCTTCTCTTTATCTTAGGATAGTACTGGTCATACCTTTTGATGTGCCACAGCCATGAGCTTCTCAAATCTTTGACACTGTGTCAATACATACGAGACAAATTCCACAGTTATTCCCCACTCTCAGGGACTTGACACTCATGGAACGACTGTAGCACTTCATCAAAAGACCTGACTTAATCGTTTGCTGAAATACTGAACAAAAGAACTTGCTGAAAACTTGAGATACTGAAACTGAGATGTTGAAACTGAAAACTGAAATTAAATTCCCGAAACTGAAATGATGAAACTGAAGTTCTGAAACTGAAATGCTGAATCCGAAATATTGAATTGACTATGCATGAATGATCACAGTCTCTTGAAAATTCAGTCTTTTTGTCTCATTGTCTCACTGTACCTTTTCTCTTAGTTCTCTCGAACTGTTCTCTTACTTAGATGACTGACCTCTCTTCCCTCTCCTTGAAGTTACTATAGGAATCAGATCCGGGTCTCTGAATATGAACTTACGAAGTCTGGAACCTGATACCATGTCATGAACCCTGGACCCGTCCATCTCTGAAATCTCATAAACCTTTCCTTCTGTCTCTCCTGTGATTATGTAAGGACCAAGCCATCTGGGCTCCAACCTTTTAGTCTATTGCGTCTCAAGAGAACTGTCGAACAAAAGGACAACATCTCCAATCTTCAATTTCTCTTTCCTTATATACCTTTTCTTGTTCCATCTTTCTTGATCTGATAACCTGCTGGATGTCATTCTTTCAGCAGCATTCACCACTGCATGATCAACTTCCGATATCTGCCTCATTCAAATCTGAAGAAGCTCT